AGAGAAATACACCTAGTCGAGACACTGTCGAATAAATAACATAGAGAAATACACCTAGTCGAGACACTGTCGAATAAATAACATACAGAAATACACCCAGTCGAGACACTGTCGAATAAATAACATACAGAAATACACCTAGTCGAGACACTGTCGAATAAATAACATACAGAAATACACCTAGTCGAGACACTGTCGAATAAAAAAACATACAGAAATACACCTAGTCGAGACACTGTCGAATAAAAAACATACAGAAATATACCTAGTCGAGACACTGTCGAATAAAATAACATACAGAAATACACCTAGTCGCGATACTGTCGAATAAATAACATACAGAAAGACACCTAGTTGTCAGAACAGAGAGGCCAGGGCTCCTCATCTTACCCATATTCAGAATGGAAGTACTCTCATTTCGATAGATATACTATCATCCAAACCTGAATTAGTTGTCTGTTTCTAAATAATCACTTACTTTAAATAACTTCGGCAGTTGAAGATAGAAAGTAAACAAAATGAGACTATGTAAGTTGTGATTAATTTCTTTTGTGTTTTTTTTTTTCACTGGTTCTATCATATTTTGGCCTCTGCCCAAATTGACACCTCAAGTGCAAACATTTTGGGACTGAGGAACTTCCAAGTTTGGTCTCACCTATTCACACACACACACACATTTTGCTTCTGACGCTTTGAAAGACATTGCAGTTTGAAAAAGTGACGTACCCGACTCCCTATGTCACTCTCCAGAGATTCCAAAAAAACATGTCAAGTTTGGTGACAAATTGTAAGGATATTTGCCAGTTATAAACGAACACGCACACACAGACTTTTGTCACATGATAGTTTAAACAGTACTAGGACTATTTTGTAGTTTAGATTATGGTAAAGTGTACAAACAACCTTGTTTGAACGTGAAGTATAACATTTGTTATGTTAAATCAGAAATGTCGTGTACCATTACATAAGATAATTGTTGTTAATGTAATCATTGTCTAAATACGCAGGAGAAACAGAAATACTGAGTCAAAGATGGAAGCGAGAAGAAATACTGGATGCCAAAATCAAAAACTTTCTAGCGGTAAGGATCTCATAGTGCGTGTTTCTAATTTTTATAGCTCACGTTAAACTTTGAGTAAATACTAGGTTTTTATTGTAACTCCAGTTAAACTTTGAGTAAATACTAGGTTTTTATTGTAACTCCAGTTAAACTTTGAGTAAATATTAGGTTTTTATTGTAACTTAAATTAAACTTTGAGTAAATACTAGGTTTTTCATTGTAACTCAAGTTAAACTTTGAGTAAATATTAGGTTTTTATTGTAACTCAAGTTAAACTTTGAGTAAATATTAGGTTTTCATTGTAACTCAAGTTAAACTTTGAGTAAATATTAGGTTTTTATTGTAACTTAAATTAAACTTTGAGTAAATACTAGGTTTTTATTGTAACTCAAATTAAGCTTTGATTAAATGCCTATTTTTACTGTAACTCAAATTAAACTTTGAGTAAATGCTCGTTTTTTGTAACTCAAGTTAAACTTTGAGTAAATGCCTATTTTTTGTTGTAACTCAAGTTAAACTTTGAGTAAATGCTCAGTTTTTACTGTAACTCAAGTTAAGCTTTGAGTAAATACCCATTTTTTATTGTAACTCAAGTTAAACTCTGAGTAAATGCTCAATTTTTAATGTAACTCAAGTTAAACTTTGAGTAAATGCTCAATTTTTACTGTAACTCAAGTTAAACTTTGAGTAAATGCTCAATTTTTAATGTAACTCAAGTTAAACTTTGAGTAAATGCTCAATTTTTAATGTAACTCAAGTTAAACTTTGAGTAAATGCTCAATTTTTACTGTAACTCAAGTTAAACTTTGAGTAAATGCTCAATTTTTACTGTAACTCAAGTTGAACTTTAAGTATATTCTCGTTTGTTCTTTTTTCACTGTACCTCTGTTTTGTCCAAAGAAACATTGGGAGTGTTAAAATGTATATAATCTTGTTTAAAAAAACACTGTTTGAATAGATTTTGTTACTTTATAAACGTAGTTTCCAGAAGTGCTTAACCACGATTAGCTGACATTTTTAAAAATGTTACACTGACCTATAGAGTTATATGACCAGTTCATATTGTGATACATAATTTAATTATTTTACTCTGTTCCATCGTATTCATAAAAAAAATGTGCATTGTTGGTTGCTATGGATATTTTCCCCCAGTTTTCAGTCCTTCTGGTCTTTGTTTTATTCATAAGTGAAATTGTAACTACATTGTTATATTCAACAATTCAGGTAGTATGTTGTCACGGTAATATTTAAGTTTTAACTTTGAATTATGATTTGACGCCCATTCAGTTATTCGTGATCGTCGGGCTAATTATATCATTATAATATCATTCGATATTCAAGATTTTGTTGCAAAATGTACAGACATAAGCCTAATTGTAACATCAAGAATCAATCTACCAAATACGAAAAGATAAAATGTATTATTATTTAAGTCCCCCAGTGGCACAGCGGTATGTCTGCGGACTTACAACGCTAGAATCCGGGTTTCGATACCCGTCGTGGGCAGAGCACAGATAGCCCATTGTGTGGCTTTGTGCTTAATTACAAACAAACAATTATTATTTAAATGGAAAACTAAAACAAAATGCATTTAGAAATATTCATCCACATTCGCAAGCGCCCAGAAATTGGCACAGGAATGGGGCAATCAGCTCAGAAACTAACACAGAAAGAATCCACCACTCGTAACTGGTAGTTATCATACCGGTCTTTACATGTGTATAATTCTAAACTGTTTTTTGTCTGTTATTTTTCATCTATTCTTACTTTAATTCGTTGAAACCACAAAAAATAAAAAAAACTAATCCAAACACAAAATAACTGCAGAATAGGTCAGTTTGTTTCTTAATTTTCTGAGATTTGCTAACAACCTGCGCCTCTTGGAACGTAATGTTTAATCTTTACCGTAGCACTTTCTTCAGTATTTGTTGGTTTTAAACAAAGAAGACTCACTGTAATACATTGTTGTTAAAAATTATGGGTTTTGATGCAATAGGTGCATCCAGCACCCATTGAGTACTCAGGTTCGTTAAGTAGCCGCGCGGATTTTTCTTCGCTGGATGGCACAGTTCCTTGTCATTTGAATGAGGGCAAGAAAAAGATCAAGTGAGCGCTTGGCATTTCTATAAGTATCATAGGGAAATTATTCAAATCAGTTTATTTGTCAAGGTACAATAAAATCATACATGTATATAATACTAACATGAAATATATATATATAAAGTGAACAATAACAAATACACACTCAAACACTCTCCTCTCTTTTTTTTCATGTTCATGCTTCTATCTTCGAAATATTTCTTTTAATCAGTTGATGGAAGAAGTCCCGTTTTTTTCGTTACATTCCCTTCGCGCAAAGCTACACGAGGGCTGTCTGAGCTTAGCTGTCCCTAATTTAGAAGTGATAGACTAGTTGTAAATTATCTAGTCAACATCACCCACCGCCAACTTCTGGGCTACTCTTTTACCAACAAAAAGTGGGATTGACCAAACCTTATAACGCCCACACGGCTGAAGGGGCGAGCATATTCGGTGGGAGAATTCAAATCCATGACCCACAGATTGTGAGTCGAGTGTCCCAACCATTAAGCCTCCTTTAGTGTAACTAGAAAAGATACACGCGCCACATGGGGCATTTATTTTATTGGCTTTACACAGATGGCGGGACGGCATGTGTGTGCGCCATTCGTTGGCACTAAGGAGAAAATTGAAATGACTGTCAAACTCGTAAACTTCAGAAAAGGAATAAAGTAAGGGGTTTTAGAATTCCTCTGGAGTATGCCCAAGAACTCCAGAAAGTTCCATGGTAATAAGAGGCGTTGAAGTTGGAAAAATCTTCGTCACAGACAAACAGACGTACAGACACAGGCCGCTTTATAATATAAATTTACGCTTGCACGTTTAGAGTTATTTTTTCCAAGAGGCCACTCCACCCAGGGGAAATACTATTTTGGTTATTAAAATAAACCAGTTGCTTCCTAACTTTGATCAAATTATCCACTTTTTTGTTGTTGTTGTTTTAAGTTTAACTTAAAGAATATAAAGAGTTCCAACATACCTCATGAATTTTCAGAAATAAGAGGGAAGAAAATAAACGAATTCACGTAGAGTTGTAATTATGACGTAATATTTTAGCCTGTAGGCATTGTCATACAATTTCATTTTTGTACTGATCCACGTTCTTATGTCTTCGAATCTTCCATGTTCTTAAGCCTACAAGAGCGTTGCGGAACTCTCTAAATAAGTAGGTGAGTTTGAAGAAGAAAAAAAAAAGGATAAATTTCAGTTACTAAATCAAGCAAGTGAATGTATACTATCCTATACTGTCGATGGTTCAGCGGTAAGCTTGAGTGATTATAACGCTAAAATTGTCAGTTCGATACTCACGATTGGTACAGGATAATTAATCCATTCTGTAGTTTTATGTTTAAGAACAAAACAAACAAAATTGAAATAAAGACGCGATACGAAGTTGCTGAAGGATCCAGAGAAACCTAAAACTTGGTCAGAATTCCCATAAAATTCACCCATTGGTTTAGGGTTAATATCATTGAATATTAAATTTTCTGCCATAGAATACTGGACGAGGCTAACCGTTACCTTATTTTGAGCTGAGTTCGTAACGTCTATTATAACTATAAGTAAGTGTAGGCATTTGTGTTTTTCTAATTTTCGATAATTATTTCCAATTAGTTTTCGAAGAATCTATCATTAAATTTTAAAAATGTTCAATACCTATCAGATATTTAATACCACAAAATACAAAATGTTTTAAACTTAAAATGACTGAAAGAACTGGAAAATGAAAAATATATATATGCTTTTTTTTTTACAAATACCAAAATCGCTTGAAAAATCTTTAAGTTTAAGCCTAATCTATCCTGACGTACCCAAGAAAGACTTTTTACACTAAAACATTCCGCAAAAGAAAAAAACACTAGAAATCAGAATTGAAAACTAGTTTACAGTCAACTGTCTTACTACCAGAATATAGTTTCTGTTTATAGCTTTTTATTTATTGTACACGAAAAAAAAACAACAACTTGGAAGTCATGCTTCTTGAGCCTGAGATATACGTTCTTGAGTAAACTCCTAGGGATAACTTCTCTAAAACCTCATGGAGAAATCTAAACCCATAGAGAAAACTTCTCTAAACGCTGAGGGAGAATTTTAAACCCTTACGGAGAAATATAAACCCTGAGTGAGAATTCTAAACCCCTAGAGAAAATTTCTCTAAACCCTTAGGGAGAACTTCTCTAAACCCTTAGGGATAACTTCTCTTGAGCATGTTTAGTAAGTATGCCTCCTATGAATGATATAATGTCGTTTAGTTACATTTTTAACAGAATTGAAGATATTGTAAGTAAAATAAAAGAGAAAAATATCTAAATACTGAGTCATTTTCTTAAGTATCACATTATTATTGTTAATACAGTTTTACCGTCTTGTTGCATAGTTGATAATTATCACATTATTATTGTTAATACAGTTTTACCGTCTTGTTGCATAGTTGATAATTATCATATTATTATTGTTAATACAGTTTTACCGTCTTGTTGTGTAGTTGATAATTATCACATTATTATTGTTAATACAGTTTTACCGTCTTGTTGCATAGTTGATAATTATCATATTATTATTGTTAATACAGTTTTACCGTCTTGTTGTGTAGTTGATAATTATCACATTATTATTGTTAATACAGTTTTACCGTCTTGTTGTATAGTTGATAATTATCACATTATTATTGTTAATAC